CAACTCGAAACAGGGAGGTCGGGGCCGAGGGTGGGGTGTCGGGGCCAGGGGCCGCATGTCGGCTTGTAGGGGGCCGTGGCTGGGACCATGGTGGGGGTTCGGGTCAGGTCCTGTGTCTGGTTCGGGCCCGAGATTATAGTATTTGCTTGAATTATTTTATTAAAATGCTCTTGGGACAATAATTTTTCCTTACTAACCAAATACCAAAAAATAAGGAAGAAAACCACTTGTTTTCCAAGATAATATTTTCTAGGAAAACATTTTTCATCGTACCAAACACAACCTATAACTACCATAACTTTGATTTTCATCCCGTGTCATAATTGATTTCACAGTGGGAATTTCACATAGTCCAGAAACTTTTTCTTTTATGACAGTGGCAGTTTATAACATTTTGTACTATAACATGGGCAACTACACATTTCTAAGTTCCAAAAAATCTCAATTTAAGTCCATGGTTATCTATTTGGGCATAGTTTAACTGGGAATTTATTGCAACAGAATATGGTTTAGATGGGCAAATATCCACAAGCAGTGATGTTTATAGCTTTGGGATTTTGTTGCTTGAGACATTCACAAGAAAGAAGCCTACTGATGACATGTTTGGAGGAGACTTAAGCTTGCATAAATGGGTATCTCTCTCATTTCCTGATGCTGTTATTGACATTCTAGATGCAGACCTTGTTAGTGACATTGCCTTTACAAGTGATGAAAACCAAAGCCGAATCAAACAGTTGTTGGTTTCGATCATAAATGTTGCATTCCTATGTTTGAAAGAGTTACCAGAGGAAAGGATAAACATGAGAGAGGTTGTGGTGCAGCTGAAGAAAATAAGAGCTGAATTAACCAAGATTTTTAGCAATTCTCATACAAAACCTTAGAAAAGGGATTGATGCAGCAACAAGCAGAATCAGTTTCTCGATATCCTACATACTAATTATGTGGATATTCTCCGACGTTGTCTATCTTTTTTAAGAGCTATTATGGACCTTCCACATTTGTAAACCTATCAGTTCTTTAGTGAATAGTCTTTGCAGTATTCGTCAATTTATATGCAATGTTGTATCTCCTAGTCTTTTTCTATATGAAGCCATGTGTATAATCCACTCTCCTCATTTATCTGCCAAACTTTTCATCTACTCCTTTTAAATGTTTTCTCTTCACACGAAGCTAAGTATTTTCTGTTTCTTCTTACGTTTGTCAAAATTTCTTATTAATTTGGTTGATACCGCTACACTTTGTGCACAAAAAATATGCAAGGATGTGAAGCCAGCTAAGGTCCAAAGAGTTACTCAGGTAAGAAACCTGTTTACTTGGAGAGAACCTGCAATCTGCATAGACTGCTAAGCTAATAGTTTCTTCAAATCTTGCTATGTTTAGGTATTTCAAACTCCTTTTTAGAGGATACACCAGTTTTTTGAGGATACCTTAATTCTTATCATACTTTGACATCTCTAGTTTCCTCTCTAGAACTTATGCCAAGTAGGGGTGTTCAAAACCGAACCGAAACCGAACCGAAACCGAAGCTTAATGGCTTATTGGTATCGGGTTAACGGTTTAACGGACGGGGAACGGATTGAAGTTTTTTTATTAACGGCTTATCGGTTTGGGGGTGAATTATTCAATTTTCTTAACGGATAATCCGTTAACCCGTTAAGTATATATATATATATATATATATAACTATGAAATGGCTTTTGATGCTTAATTGGGTATGATGATTATTTTGATGATGTATTTTATGTTGAGTCGGTATTCATACGTATATATAGGCGTACATACTACCTAGGGATTATCCCTTGTATACATGCATACATCCATGCATGGTTATTTCTCTGTCCATGTGTATTATATATGCTTAACTTTTATTCATATGTATACNAGGCAATCACATAGTTATCTCAATGAAATTTGATATCATTGTATGATCCATGTTATAGCTAGCAAGAGTTACAGTGACATATCCATTAGAACTACTTTTTCCTTAATTACATCATATCATAGTCTGCTTTGGGATATAATGTAGACTATAATATTTTCTGTTTTTTTCACTCTACACCACATGACACACTACATCATTCTTATGTAGGCGTTAACAGACATGTATGTCTGGACTCAATGTGTAATTTTCTATTTTGAATTTGTATGCAAGGTGGTCAACAAACAATTAATGCACGCAATATAGATTGAATTAGGCCGATAAACTGCCCGATAAGAGCTAAACCGATACCAATCCGCCCGATATCTTATCGGGTGGCTAGCGGATTAATACATTTAAAAGCCGATAACCGTTAAGCCAAACCGTTAAGAGTAATTAACCGCCCAATCTGCCCGATAAGCAGCCCTAATGCCAAGTACTGTGGCTGAAAATGATTACGGACTGGACTTAGAAATAGTTCAAAATGCAACTCAATGATTCATAAATTGTGATAAGACAGATTAGGCTTGCTTTAGGAATGTAACAAAACAAGGCATGGGGAAATAGTTCATATGTTATTCCATGAAGCAATCTGTATATATGCATGTATCCTAACTATGGAAAGAATAAAAAAATGAAAAATCCTATAGATCTGCTATTAAATACCTACAATCATGTATGTTACAAGAAATATGTCTACATTCATTCTATCATGAATGTAGAATCCCTAGAATCATGCTATCATGCATATTACAAAGAATATACTGCATTCATAACACTCCCCCTCAAACTGGAACATAGATATTGATCATGCCTAGCTTGTTACAAAGGTAATCAACTCTAGTTCCATTCAATGCCTTGGTGAATAAATCAGTTAGTTGCTCTCATGTTTTCATATAGCCAGTGGAAATCAAGTTTTTCTAAATCTTCTCACGAATAAAATTATAGTCGACCTCAATATATTTAGTTCTTTCATGATACACCGTATTTGAGGCAATATGAAGGGCAACTTAATTATCACACCAGAGTTTTGCTGGTGTATGATGTTTCAACCCAATTTTAGTTAAAAGATGATGTATCTACATAATCTCAAGCGTAGACTATAACATAGCTCTATACTCGGACTCTGCAGTGGTCGAGATACAATATTTTGCTTCTTACTCCTCCACGATACTAGGTTCCCTCCAACAAAGACACAATAACATGTAGTAGATCTTCTATAAATTTTGGATCCCACCCAATCAGCATCTGCGAAACACTCTACACGAGTATGGCCGTGATTGCTATACAATATTCCAGGTCCAGGAGATCCTTTCAAGTAACATAGAATATGTTCCAAAGCTTCCCAATATTTGACGGTAGGTGCACACATGAATTGTCTAACAACACTCACAACAAAAGCAATATCTCGACAAGTCACAATGAGACAGCTCAACTTCCCAACTAATCTCCTATATCTCTCAAGATTATCAAAGAATCGCCATCATCTTTCATAAAATGTACATTAGAAACCATTATAGTACTGCAGGGTTTGGCTGCCAACTTTCCGGTTTCTGCAAGTAGATCAACAATATACTTTCTCTGAGATAGAAGAATTTCCATTTTGCTTATATTCAATTCTACTCCAAAAAAGTATTGCAACTGGCCCAAATGCTTAGTATGCAAGAAAGACTTGAAGAAAGAGATCCGCGCATAGTCACTTCCTGTGATAACAATGTCATCAATATATACAACAAGGAGAATAGTGCCAGTTGCTGATTGCGGATAAAAGAATGAGTGATCACACTTACTCATTTTCAGCCCAAACTTCTGAAGTACCTCACTAAACTTGCCAAACCAAGCTCGAGGACTCTACTTCAAGCCATATAAGGACTTCTTCAAATGACAGACTTTCCCATATTCCCCCTGAGTAACAAAACTGGGTGGTTGCTATATATACACTTCTTCCTGAAGATCACCATGAAGGAATGCATTCTTGATATCCAACTGATGTAAAGGCCAATTCTCGGAAACAGCTAGAGAAATTAATAAGCGGACAGAAGTGAGTTTGGAAACCACGGAGAAGGTATCGAAATAATCTACCCCATAAGTTTGAGCATACCCTTTAACAACAAGTCTAGCCTTAAGTCTTGCCACAAAACCATCAAGATTAGCTTTAACTGTGAAGACCTGTAAGTCCACCAAATCCGACGTGTGGTTACCCGGCATGTATTATTTTCTCAAGCATTGCATCAAACCATCCGGGATGATTCAAAGCCTCCTTCACTATATTGGGTATCGTGATGGACTCCAGAAAGGCAATCATAGATCTAGACATAGAGGATATGCGGACATAGGAAACAAAATTAGCAATGAAATATGTGGATTTGCAAGTACGTATACCTTTGCGAAAAGAAATAGGAAGGTCAAGGTTTTCTGAAGGATCAGGCGGAGGAGGATCTGATAATGAAGGAATTGTTGCAGGACATGTCTCATTTATCTCTCGCCTTCGCGAGTAGGCTTGAACAATTGGCGGTCTTACTAACACAGTTACATGACATGTCTCATTTGTCTCTCGCATCCGCGAGTAGGCTTGAGCAGTTGGCGGTCTTGCTAACACAGTTGGAGCATGTGCTGAAGGCATGATAGCAGATTGGTGCTCAATAGAAGAACTAGGAGATTGCGGAACATCATCTGATTGTTCTGTCAAAGAACGAGTAACCTGATATACTAGCCACTCATCTTCCTCCCCTTGACTTGTAAAAATGGGAGGTGCATAGAAGAATGTTGTAGTCTCTGAAAATACCACATCACTTGACACCAGATATTTATCAAGTTAAGTAGAATAACACTGAAACCCCTTCTGAAGGCGAGAATAGCCTAGGAAAACTGTAATGACCCGACTTGTCATTTTGTGAATTAGCATCTCGCTCAGCGACTTAAGGTCCCAAATAGCTTTGTGATATGTATTATGACTTGCGTATGTGGTCGAGTTTGATTTTCAGATGATTCGGGATCAAATTGGAAGAACAATTCTTATTTAAGAAGCTTAAAATAAAAGAGTTGATCGGAGAGTTGAATTTTGAGCAAACGGCTCCGTATGGTAATTTTAGACTTAGGAGTGTGTCCGGATATTTTTTTGGAAGTCCGTAGTTGATTTTGGCTTCAAATGGGAAAGTTGGAAATGGAAGGTTTGGAAGTTTGACCGGGAGTTGACTTTGGTGATATCAGTGTCGGAATGTGATTTTCAGAGTTGTATTAGCTCTGTTATATCATTTGGAACTTGCATGCAAACTTTGACGTCATTCCAGGTTAATTTGATATGTTTCGGCACGAATTTTGGAAGTTGGAAGATTTGGAAATTCATGAGTTCGATTTGTGGTGCGATTCATAGTTTTGACATTGTTTGATATGGTTTGAGGCCTCGAACAGGTCCGCGTTATATTTTAGGACTTGTTGGTACGTTTGGTTGAGGTCTCGGGGGCCTCGGGTGTGTTTCGGGGTGAGTTTTGAACGAGTCTGGGCATTTCGGCACTTTGATGATGTTCTGGAACAATTGAAGTGTAGAGGGCACATTTTGGAGTGGCGGACCTTACAGCAAAATTGCGGACCGCAGAGGAAATGTGCGGACCGCAGAAATCCTCTTGCGGCCGTAGAAAGTAGAATCTACAGGTTCGATGGTCTGACTTCGGAAGCTTATATCTTTTGATCTATAAGGAATTTGGAGATGATCCAAAAAGGAAAGTTGTATCCCTTTGAGTCTAGTTTTCATAAATTAAATTATTTATTATTTAGATATTTGTATGGAAAGTTATGGTCAATTTACTGAAGCCTGATAGTGCAATCACTACTGGACTGCGACCGCACAATTTGTGTTGTGGTCGTAGAACCTGGAATATGCGGACCGCACAAAAAATGTGCAATCAACACTTTGGAGGTCAAATGTAGTACCATATAAATGAGGCTTTCATCTCATTTTTTATTTTTGGACTTAGAAAGCTCGGTTTGTAGCGATCTTTTGTGGGTTTTTCAAAAAAATTATCGGGATAAGTGATTCTAACTCGGTTTTGGCCATATTACACGAATTCATTATTATTTTCATCATGTAATTAGTGATTTTAGTTGGAAATTTGGAGAACAATTGTAAAAA